CTACGATTAGATCGGAAATCGAAAAAGGACTTACCAGGAAGGTCTTTCAGGGCGTGACGAAGCTTTTTGAAAACGGTCTTTTGCATGATATAGGGGCAGATGCGGGAACCACAGAACCATGTTTAATTTTTCCTGAACGGCCCTCTGAATACCAGAAAAGGGGGTCCCTAGTTCGATTCCTCGTGGTGACAAATTTTTGCATTTCGAGTTGACGTTCCAAAATTCGCGCAAAATGGAGTTCTGATTGTTCTGGTTGGTTCTAACTCCATTTTGCGCGAATTTTGGCACGTCAACTCGAAATGCAAAAATTTGTCACCACGAGGAATCGAACTAGGGACCCCTTTTCTGGTATTCAGAGGGCCGTTCAGGAAAAATTGAACATGGTTCTGTGGTTCCCGCATGTGCCCCTATATCATGCAAGAAACCGTTTTGAAAAAGCTTGGCACACCCTGAACGACCTTCCTGGTTAGCACCTCCACTCTTCCGACGACACCAGCGCCATTGCTATTAACTACTTTGAAATAGGAACTCACTCACCTCCACACGGTTTTTGCCATTCCCATACCTGATATCGTCCAATGTAGCTGGTGCCAACGTGCTCGACACTCTGATAGTTTGTCGGCGTCATAGTAAGATGTTTACGAAGCCACAGAATATCTCGGGCCCGAAATGAACCAGGAGCTCTGATCACTGTATGAAAACAGACACGTCATATTTAATTACAAGACCAGCTTCAATTGAACGTCTGATGTGTGAAATTCATTTGTATTTATTTTATTTATGCATAGTGAACGCGCTGAACTATGACATACTACGAGTGAGGTAAGTAGTAAGGTATAGGTTTTACAATTATGAAGCATTAACAAAAAAGGCAGCAAACAAAAACTCAGTAATGTCTAAACGACGCCCTAAAATAAGCCTATGTTAGATAAGAGGAGGAGATGAAAATAGAATGCCACAAAAATTCGGAAGTCTGCCAATCAACTGGATCGGGAACTGCTTCTAAATTGTGTAGTAATAGATTTCGATTACTGCACAATTTTATAAATAAATAAATAAAATAAATAAGATAAAAATTGCGATTTCAGCTTTTGTTTGGATGGAAAGACTTGAAAACACCTGATAATGTTAATTAAGAGTAGTGGTTTTTAGCTCGAATAATATCGTACAAGTACTTACATACTGCATTTCCTGCGACGGTCGTCCAGAACGACTCATCGGGAACCCATGTCTCGTTCAGATAAGTGAGAAGAGCCTTCACTTTTTTACTTTTCGACATGAAATTCGCTGCTTTACGAGGAATTGCCACTGACATGGCCGATTTGTACAGTGGAACAGGGGGATGGATTCCCTAAATCAGAAGCTTGAACGTAAATTTGTCACTTCTTACAGAGGGAGTGTCGGCTGTAACAGTGCAAAGCTAATCCTGATGCTTTCTGCTAAACCTCTAGAGTCAAATGACGAAGGGCTACCCATCAGTGGGCGTGCAGCGGCGCGAGCGGCGCGGGCACGGTCCTGAAAGGCCGCTGAGAGCACTTCCCTTCGCCGCGCGTGCATCGTACCATATCCTTAAAGAGAGAGTCGAATGCCTTTGGATTAGGTATATTTCCCTTCTTCGACTTCCGACATTGTCGTGGACTCCTCCTTTAGGGTTTTGATTGTGAGGAGACTACAAAAGTCAGTAGTAAATTACATTATCAATGCACAACACAACCTCCATCATCCGATATCGATCGATCTCGAATTCCTCAACATCGGTATTGATTGATCCATTCAGCGCATTCATTATCCGCACCATTTCGAGATTTGTACGCAAAGGAAGATCTGCACCCGATAGGTACTGCAATCAAGATCGCGTTTCCGCCACAACTTTCAATTCTTCAATAGTTTCACTATTTTGTTCTTTTATCATTTCCAAGTATCGCGGAAACTTTGTGAGACTGAGTTCATCAAAAAATTTATCCTTTGAAAAAAGGTTAAATTTTGAAGAGCTCTTTCCCCTGGAGAAATATTTATAGGTAAAGTTTAATGCATTTACCAACCTGATAATATTTCCATGGATGATTAAGATCAGTGAGATATTCGAAACATTTATGGACATTGGCAAGAATACCGAACGATCCCCAAAATGACTTGCTTCCGATCGAAAATAAAATGATTATCGATAAATGAGTTTTGTAATGAAATTCGGCATGCTCTTGCTAAGATACATGTGAAATAAAACGCCTGGGTACCGTCCAAGGATTATCGTTGGGCACTAGATGTAGTCGTTGCCAACGAAATGGAAGTAGTGGGTCAAAGTGGATCATCAGCAAGGAAAAGGAGTGGTGCCAAGTTTACAAACTACCAGATCAGACATTCTGAGATAGTCTGTGCACCTAGGGAAAGAGGTGCTTCGGGGTCGAGAGAGCATAGCAAATGAGCGAGGCGCAGACACCACGACGTGTAGATCACTGGGTCGCGAGAAGTATCACCGTCATCGGTGGTCAGTGGGGCCCTACAGTCTTCCTCAAGCACCTCCAAGCCTTGAGAGCAGCACATTTCCGCCTTTGTTGCGGTCTTCCCTTTCCACATGGTTTCTCCGTGAAGTCAGTGAAGGAAGCATGAAATGTTACCAGTTTCACTCCTCCCCCCCCCCACTCCCTCCTCCTGCCCTTACAGCGCTCTAGCTTCCATACAAGAGGATCACTATCACTTCATTATATAAACCAGAACTTTGGTGTGTCGGTCTAATTTAAATAAATAAGTTAAAGCCAAGCTCGAGTGACCGCGAGGCCACTGAATGTACACAAAGTTTGTTAAGCAAAACAGTGTTGAAGTTTTCAAGAACAAGAATATTCAAAGCAAGGAAAGTAACTGAGAAGGTTAACTTACAAATGTAGCTGTATTGTTGAAGCAGGATGGCAATTTCGTAATGAAGTTCTTAAACTCCCGACTCGCACCTTGGTCGACCATTATACAGTAAGCGTTCTGAGGATGGTAGAAAATGCTGAGTTCAAGCATCACCTAGAATTATGCATTTATTATATTTATAGCCTCTTTCACATTTTCCCTGATATTTTCCCTTTCACACTTTCAAAAGTGTAAGATGAATTTTGTGACGAAAATTGTGCGCGGAAAATTGGTTAAGTTATGAACACAAGACAAAAAAAACTGATCTGACCTGCACAATGTCTTTGTAAATCAGAAACCCATAGGCTAACGGATAGTTGGCTTCCTCTTCTGATAAAGGAGCGTCTTCAAAAATAAAATATCGCCGGATTGTGTCACATCTGAAGCTGCGATTGAAAAAATGTGGACACACTATTTAAGAAGTTCCAAGGAGCTTTTCTGATTCTCTTCAAGATGTCACGATTAAATTCTCCTCAGCTAAACTTACGTGTCGGCCGATTCGTAGAGGTCCTTTTCTATTGCGCTATACTTAAAAGTCCACCGCTTGTACTTGATAAGATCAGGTCCTCCATTAAAGACCGTATCACAGTTCAAATTTATTGTCTCGACAGGTGTACCAGTAACATAGCTGAATTCAGCGCTCTTGAGGTAATCACAAAAATTGATTCTATTATTGAATACGAATTAATTATAAGAGCAAGCAACAAATACTGATGACCCACACATTTGGTATGCCTGTCTTCTTCAGAGTGATTCGAATTGTAATGTAGAGTAGGAACAATAAATACAAAAGCAATGGCTTGTGCTTTTGCATCAATAGTACAAAATTTCGTATGAATTTTGAATAGCCGGAAACACAGTAGAGATTGAATCGCTGAGATCGCATGCATGGAACCTGGAACCTGGAACCTGCAGATCGAAGAGAGATTCCGTATCAGAATATCGCATCTTTGCAAATCCTTACACTGGCCTTCCCCTCGCTAAATATCTGTGTGAGCATTTCCACGCTATGACTGCCTTTTATTGAATGGTACCCAAGAGAGTGAAAAATAGCTCGAGTAAGATTATGTTCAAATTGGAAAACCTTAGCCGAATAAACTCGATTACAATCTCGGAGGCTAAGGCAGAGAGAGCCAACTTAGGAAAACTGTAGGAAAACTTCCCCGAGATGCAGAGGACACTTTCACTGAGAGCCATGTACGCGTTCAGAATAGTCATTGATTATAAGCACCAACCATTGCATAGAAATGAGCCCCATAAATCAAGTCTGGATCTGCTTGAAAGTTCCCTGAGGAAATTAAGGCACGGTTAGCCTATGAAATCCCTGAATAGTTAAAGTTGTGAATATATTAGTTAATGCATAATCCTCCAAACTATGCCTAGAAATAATAAACCCCGACACGAAACTCCTCTTCTTGTATTATATTATTCTGACCAAAATAATGATATTTGTAATGCAATTATTTTGTGCTACGAGTACCAACTCGGATGGAATGTTCGAACCGCATGAAAGCATCACTCGTGTAAATGTGCGTAAAATTATACCCTGATGATCGGCTTTCAAATGGTTTGTCAAAATTCTGCTCAAAATCTGGCATAAGCCAATACCCAAAACCCGGAAGACCGCGAAGGACCGATCGACAGAAGTAATCGAAATGACTAGTGGAAGTAATTGAGTACAGGTTCGATTTGGTACAAAAAATGGAGACTTATACTCATACGAATGCTTTGATTAACGCAGTTGCGTAACAGTTCTCAGTGGATTAAAATATTGCATTTCTGGGGCCGTGTGGTGCTCCCCCAAACAGAGAGGGACCCCATTCTGGTGGAAAGCATACCCTAGAGCATAGGTCGAGAACTTTTGTTAAGATTAAGAGGTCGTTTGATGTTGTTGTTGTTATAACTGTGAGTTGTACTCCTGCCTCGAGGTTGTTAAGGTTGAGGTTTGATGCTGCCCCTTAGTCAATCGTAGCGATATCGTTGGCCAAATTTTTTCTTAATATGCATTGCCGTATGGCCTCGCTGGGGCTGGTGCTACGCGTTTCCTCGTTGCAAGTCCTCGGTTCTGTGGGAAGGTTCGCTGGGAGAGTTTTGCTTGCATTTACTAGATTAGCGTTGGGCGCTCATGACGGGAGGGGAGAGGGATGGGGGGGGGGGTAGGACATAGAAAGCAGGGTCGATGGTAAGCTTGATCTCAAATGCTATAAGTGGCTTACTCCCTCTAATGTCCACCCCTCCCCCCCCCCCACTCCCATGACATGAGCGCCAAGCGCTGTTACATTAAGCGACTCTATAGAACCATACTTTCCTCGAGCCTATCAATCTGAAAAAGGATTCATTTCGTCAATCTCTTTCCTTTAATACAATCTTTCCCTGTTGTCCTTGCAGTTGATGATACCTTCAAAAGTGAACTATTGCAGCATCAAAGAGATCATTTCATCGACTCATTTTGCAATGTCCTCAAGTTTCCGGGATTATTTGTCAGCATAGCTGTGCTGCACCAATCGCATAGAGTGATATTCAGAAGGTGTAATGTTCGCCTTCTTGGTGATGTACTATAGTTCCATCACATTTCGGAAACATATCCTTGGAGGTTGTCGCAAAATATGAGAGGTGGTCAATTCGTGTTGCGAACGTTTTCTTTTTTTTGGATCTTTCCTTGACACTGACATGGAAACCACCACTTTTTAATCGTCGGAGCAGTATACAGGTGGGTTACGATAGATTCTGGAAACTGTAGACTCACTCAAAAGTTGATGAGCCCGGGCAATTTGTTTATAAGCGGATCAATTTTTGACTTAAAAAGCAAAAGAGGTGCCTGTCGAGTTCAATGCTATCTGAATTGGCATGGCGCCGCGGAAGGTGTTGCGGTGAACTCGTCCATACGCTCACCGACTTAGGCGCTGTTCGTCCATAGTGAAATCAAACGATCAAATAAAACTATCAAATGGGCCTGTTTTGAGTTTTCTAGAAAGATTTCTCTGCTTTTTTCCGCACTGACGTACAACTGAGCACCCGAAAGTTCCTTCTCCCCTCCGAAACCTGTCGTAACCGCTGCCCTTGAAGCCATAATCAAGGCATCGCATTTGTATGATGTGAGACAACATTCTTGTAGGCGATTGTTATGACTCTATTTAACAATATACAAGGGATCAGGGCGATAGAATGAACTTCGCATTAGCCACTCTGGATGTTTCAGCTCAGTGATCCGCTTGCCATTGCTTAGTTCGACTGTCGGCATCTCAGCATAGCTTCTTGCGTCGAAATCTACCGGATTGTGAGCACGTTTTCGTACTTCCTGGAAAAATTGGCTTGTGAATATCATTCCAAATCTACACGATGAAAACAAAATCAGGGATATGCTTGTCTAGTTAGGTGAATGTGGAGGATATACATAACCCAGAGTTGTCTCGGGAATAAGTTTCGAAGGGAGGGTAGTCTATAAATGTGATACCACTGTGAATTTTTCCCTCACACTGCAAAGGCACAGGGGTTGAGGCGTAACCCTGTGCTTAGGGAGCATACAGTAGAGATCTACACTATGAAAATGCACAACCTATCTCTCACTATAGCACTATAGGACTCCAGCAAAAAGGATGTGTGACAAACCTTGAGCAAACATATGAAAGCTGCTGGTTCAGTGTCTAGGTAAACTTTGTGCACAACAAGTTCTGGTCGTTTCACCACTTCCGGTACGTCCAGTACTCCAAATACGCATGACCAGCTTATTATACGTCCTAAATTTGACACCCTTAGGAGCTTGGTAAGTCGACGCTATGAAAAAGTGAATACCTACTTAATAACTTCTCTTAGGCTGGCTGATAGAAAAATGTTTCTCGTCAACAATAAATTGCATAGCAAAAAAAAACAATAAAACCCCTCACTCTATTCCCCGTTATATTCCCCATTTTGATAATTTATTTTTTCTCCCCATCTCTGCACAAGCAGTGGATGCCAGCCTCGAAAAAAACCCATCCGCGACCTACATTGGAAGAAGAACACCGAACAGAATGGAGGGTTTTTGTTTCAAGAACCATCGCATTTCCGGCACAAGGCTTAGAAGTCTCGTTTCGTTAGTGAAACTTGTACCTCTGCATGGTTTTTGCCACTCCCACACTTGATATCGTCCAATGTAGCTTGTTCCAATATTGTCGACACTGTTTGTAGTTGGAGGTGTCATAAATAGGTGCTTACGTAGCCACAGAATATCTCGAGCTCGATAGGAACCGGGAACTTTCATCACTAGGTAACAAAGATTGAGAATTTTGAAAAATAGAATATGAGGCTAAGTATTAGCTCGTTCTCCTACTGTAGCTCTTATATGCATAACATGATAGAACACTTTGTGATGAAGTACGCACAGACAGCATTTCCAGCTACGGTCGTCCAGAACGATTCATCTGGGACCCAGGTCTGGCTGAGATAATTGAGCAGAGCCTCCACTTTTCTGCTCTGCAACATAAATCTTGCAGCTCGACGAGGAATGGCCACTGACATCGCTGATTTGTACAGTGGAACAGGCGGATGTATTCCCTGGAAGAAAATAAAATTAATCCCGTGTGAGACCAGAAATTTCTTTTTCGAGGCTGTCACATGGGAGACTTCATTGGACTGCACACTGTCACGTATTTGTGAATGTGACAACTGCAAGTGAAATTTGAAGTAAAATGTTAAATAGATTGTCATACACATGACCCTTTCAAACCCTGTTGACCCAAACTTTAACACGTTGACGACAGCGCGCGTTTTGGCTTTTTTGGCCGCGTGGGACCAGCGCGATTTTGCGAGCGCAACCGCCTCAGGTCATTCGAGCGTATTTCGAATGGTAAACACATAAAAAATGACTGATACAAAATTACTTCAGTGACTTCCATCTAGCAGAAAC